TGAAGGAGGCAGGACCGTCACTCCTGACGGATCGCGCAGGCAGCGTCCAATACAGCCTGCATTGGGGCCGTGGCCTGGAAGCGATCATCGACGGAATCGAGGCTTGGCTTGACAACGGAAGGCGTCGCACACCGGGAGGTGCTGCCCCAGCCGTCATCGTGGTATCATATGCCGGAAATGATGTGTACGGCAACCACGGATTTGTGGGCAACCCTTGGGTGGACACCAACGTGCTCCACCGGAACCCTGCCAAGCAGAGGGCGGCCTATGAGTGGCAGGCAGAGCTGGCACAGAAACATGCCCAGCAGATGAGGCGTTTGGCGGACTTGAGACAGAGGAAAGACGTGGCAGCCCTGATCGTCATCTGCTACTGCGATTCGCAGAGTTATGGACTGCCGGAAGAATACGCCCGTCAAATGTGCCAATCAGCGGATGTCTTCACTCGCCTTGGCGTCACGAATGTGACAGGCACCACCCTGGTTCGATCCTGTCAGCGGTACGACAATTTCCACTGCCATAACACAGAAGAGAACCGGGCGATGTTTGTGAAGTACTACGCGAATGTTGCTCTCTTCGCCTACCACTACTGGGTGCTCGCTGGCGTTGACGTGTTGCGCAAAGATGCCAACCTCTTCGCGAAACCTCGTGGGGAAAAGACCCACCGCCAGCACATGCTTGAGCACATCTGGAAGCGACGCATTGATTCCGGGTACCTGTTTTTGGGTGACTTCGACGAGCATGATGAGCTTCTCCCGGGTCAAAAGCGGCAGACTGCCATCGACCAGAAGAATGGCTGGCTCCTGACGGTCTCTGAGACTACTGAGGTCGCTCACATGGATGATTTTGGGGACCCAGTCTACGCGACCCAGGAGCAGATTGAAGCTGCCAAGCTCTTGCCATTCAATCAGCGACTTTACAACATGCCACGGGGAACCGTTGGTCCGGATTTCTATGACGAGGGTCAGGATGTGCAAGTCCCGGCTGAATCGTCGAAGGCTGATCAGACGATGCCGGATGCAAGTGTGCCGGATGTCATTGAGATTGACGACACCTTTGCGCCCAGCGCTGATTCGCCTCCGGGGACGGAAGGCCGAGATGCAAACAACCAGGCTCCCGTGAACACTCCGGGCATGGAGTTCGTGTCTGTCACCGCTGAAATGCCAAAGCACGGTGACACCGAGGTGGACCCTGTGACCATCACGGAAGAAGAGGAGCTCCATGTATCCAATGAACCCATTGCGGATGAAAACTACGTCAATGAACTTCTCAAGGATCACCTTGATTCCGCCATCAAACAGGGCTTTGAAAACAAAGATCAGCCAGATGATGACTCAGATGAAGAAATTGTTTTCAAGGAACCGATCCTCACATCTATGCATGCCGACTCATGTCAGGTCGCGGGTGTCACCTACCAGTTGAGAAAGAAGGAGGATGAAAGCGATGTCATTCGTATCTACATGGCAGAAGAAGACATCCCGCAGCTCACTGGTGAGGCACTCAGAAAGTTCCGCGAGGTTACCACTTTGGGGAACGAGCCTGACCTGGCCAACAAGGCACCACAACCGAGGATTCCGAAGGCGAAAGCATCAGGTGAGCCGGGGGCGCCAAAAGCGTCACATGAGACTGCAAAGTCAAAGACTAAACCGGCATCACTGAAAGCAAAAGCACGCCCGGCGGGAGCTGAGGCCGATGTTGAAATGAAGCCAACAGAGGAAACTCAGCCCAAAGTACCAAAACGCCCGGCGGGAGCTGTGGCCTCGGATTCGACCCCGACAGCAAAACCAGCTGTCAAAGCCAAGGCCATGCCTAAGGCACCACCGGTGCCTTCCGTTTCGTCGCCTCTTGGGGAAAACGAAGTTGTGGCATTGCAGTCGAGATCGGTTCCGGGTGCTGCCAATTTGGCGAATCTGAACTCGAAACAAGTCTGGATTTCCCGACGTGTCTCAGGCTTGCTCCGAGGATGGGAGCATAGCAGACAATCCTGGCACAAGGTACAGCCTCCGAGCTTCGACGCTGGGCTGTGGATGGATTATGGCAAGGTGTACTCGTTCATCAAGCGGAAGTACGATGTCAACCTTACCAATGATGAACTGCTGACGGTCATCACATCCAATCACAGATTCATGCTCGAGGTGAGGATTGCGCCAAAGGGGACTTTGGTCGGTGGGAAATACCAATATACACCTCTTCGGGTTAAAGCGATTCAGAACCATAATGAATGGTCAAACAACAACGTGAAGGATGCACTTCCTGAGCATGAACGCTTTGTCACTCTCGATGAGGAGTATACTTCGGTGGAATACCTGGCCGGCGAATTCCCTCGAGTTCCAAAAGGTGCGCTGGGAAAGGTGAGGGAGGTGGCCCCTACCATCCTCTATCACTACACGCACCGGGCAGCACTGGTCGAGATCATCAACATGGGATTGATTCCCGGCGGCAATCGGACTGGAGCCAGGTTCACATTCTTGACGAAGGAAGATCCGTGGACAATTTCAGGCACTGACTATGCAGCGATGGCGGCGACCCGCCCCATCTGTGTTGCCTTGGATCTCCAGATGATGATTTTGAACGGGCACCGGCTCATTGAAACAACTGCTGGTACGATCCTATGCCCTGACTGGCTGGCAAACCGGAACGTGATTTACGTGTATGACATGGAGTCCCGATGCTACGCCTTCGCGAACCATGTGTACGCACACTATCGCGGCATCATTACCGGTGAAACAAAGGCCTTCAATTCAGCACGCACTGGGGGACCAGTTGCCGATGACGATGAAATGGTGAAAAGCCCACTGGAGAAGTACACCTACCAGGTCCTTGGTGACTATGAGAGGTGGTGTGGCAAGGTGGACACTTTTTCCCCATTCGTGTACGGTGAACTGTTTGAACGCCCAGGCGTGAAGGACCAAATGATATCAGGAAAACAGAATCCTGATTTGGAAACATACGAGGTCACGTATGTCGTTCGCAGGCCCAACTTCAACGCCTACAGGAACCAAGTGTCGCCCAAAGAGATGCTGCCCAACTACAACCGACCTCGGTTTGATTGGCGCAAGATCCACCCCGAGACTGAGGGTTTTGGCAACGCTCGATGGATGGTCGTTGAGGGCATTCAGATGCCAGAGGCTCAGTGCCCAACGTGCACAAATACCTACACCCATGGCATGATGTCCTGCATCACATGCGGCACCTTCCTCAACAATGCCTCGGATCTGTGTAAAGCTGCTCAGCTCATTCGGATCGAGGAAATTGCAGCAGATCTCGGTATCGAAGTCGCGATGGATATGGTACCTGAGGACAGGCTGCAAGGAACAGGTGTGAGGAGGACGCCGGCGGGGACGCCTGGCCATGAAGTTCAACGTGCTTCTCGTTCGGGCATCAACATCTTGAAAGCGAACGCCAAAAGCCATGTCCAGAAGGCGGACAAGATGTCCATGACGGTATCGCAGCGACAGCTGGTTGACGCTTTCTACGCGTTCAACTGCGCAGCCCAAGACCTCTCTCCAATCTGCATTCAATTCCTGGAACGACTGTCAGATGCCATCATCCCTGACCCTCCGAGGACAAGGGAAATGATTGCTCGTGGAATCGGTCATCGATACGCTGGCAAGGTCATCTTCATGAACGAACCAGCAAAAGGGAATGATGCTGACCTGAGCGAGGACTTCTTCATTTATTGGAAGAACAGGCTGCACCGTCCTGAGACTTTCGCTGCGGACTATTGCCAAGGTGCAAAACGACCCGCAATCCTGGGATTTGGAGGAGAGTGGCGAAGTGAGAAGACGGACCCTGATGATGTGTTGGATGAACTCCTGGAATTCGTGATGGGCGATGCTCAATTTGTACCTGGCTTGGATATCAACCTTGTGAAAGAAACAAGGGCACTTGTGATTCCCAAGGCCAAGGCCGCACCAGGTCCGGGTGAAAGTCTGGCCAGAGCAACACGTACTCAGGCCGAGACATCAGAGCAACGCTGGCGAGGAGCTGCCGGAAGTGATCAATACCATGATTGGCAGCAGTCATCCTCATCGTCTTCCTGGTGGTCCTCATCCAACCGCAACTGGTGGCAAGATGATCGCGGTCGTGGCAGTGACTGGCGAGGACACGACTGGTGGAGTCAGCGCAGGTGGTGAACACGACGCACAGCGGGAGCTGTTGCCTGTGGAGAAGAGAATAAAATCTACGGGTGACTCGGCTGTCTTTGTGCACTGTGTCTTTCCCTCAACGCACCGCGGGAGCGGTTGCCTGGATGACCGTTTCTGTGATGCACCGGGGGACCGGTTGCCTGAAACCAGCAGCTAATTCGTTTGAGTTCAGGTCGATGAACTTGGCTCTCAATCCTTGCAACAAAGAGCGCACATCTTTTGTTGTGCTTTGTCGCCACGCGGGAGCGTGTGCCTTGATGGCTTTGTTCCTGCTTTCTAAAAGGCTGGCACTGCACTCCCAGTTCCGCTGCGCAAAAGAGATTATCTTTGTGAGCTTGCTTTGAACTTTCATGCATGAATCAGTTGAGACATGTTCAACCCTAGCATCAAAACATGACAGTGCCATATGTGATCCGTCCTTGAGGTCAACCATCCTCTCCATCTCAAGGCACGTTCCGGTCCGATGCTTCGCACGTACCGGGGGACCGGATACCTTCGTAGGTCCTTAATTAATGCACTGTACATAACTTCACTCCTCCCATTTTCGTTCAGCGGGGGGTGTTGTTTCACGCTAGGATGTCGTATACATGTCTCACTTTACTACCGTTTGGCTCAAGGAAAACCAGGTGCGACTTGTTGGTAGTTATCGGTCGCTTACCTGTATCTACACATATTAAGTCGCAGGGCAATTACAATTTTGTTTGATATTCAGAGACTAGCCACTATGATATCACACCCGTCCTTTCAATTTGCTCAAGTCACAATGTCTCCTTTGATTTTGAATGATGGTTGCCGAACGCCCATTTTGTAGCTACCATGAGGTGGATGAAGAGCCGGTCACTCACACAAAGGAAAATGGCAAGTGTTGTCCCTGCTGGCACGGAAGTGACACGTCAGGGTGTGTCCGACAGGATTGGAAAAAGAGGACGTGTCATGGTGGTGAAGCCGATTGCTAGGGCATACATTCTATCTGGGCATATGATGTCCAACATGGCTGTTGGTGACTGGCTTCTGCGCAAGAAGTGGCCTCCGGTCGTAGCACTTATTATTGCTCTGGGTCTACATACAGCAGATTTCTTTGGAGCCTTCTACAATCTGTCTGTGGTTCCAGGAGAACACCAAACTCCAGTGCGGATATTTGAGCCGACGCTGGAATCGTCAATCATGTCAGTGGTGTCCTTTCTGGCTTTTGGTGTGGCTTTGCTGAGCGTGCTCACACGAGTTCACAGTCAGTTGCTTTGGATGACCCTGCGAACCTTCGACCCATGGGCAACTTGGACATGTCAAGTTTATCTCCGAAAATTGGAACAGGTCAAAACTTCTTGCAGGCTCTGACTGGCAGCATCCCTACTCAAGAATCAGCTCTCTTATGGTTCTTGTTGGTGGGTATCGCCGTATCGCAAGGAATTAAAGACTTTGAACAGTCCATTCAGCGTCCAAAACTTGAAATTAACCAGCCGAAACGATCCATATATATATATATAGCTTGCAAAGTAGATTGCATTCCAAATCATATTTGGCCTCGGGCCAAGACACGAAAGAATATCTGAGGCATGACCTCCATCAGGGTTTTAAGCGGATCCCTTACCAGAACTTCGAGCATGCTTCCGCTGAAATCAATCAAGTGAAGGTTGACTGAAAACTTTCCCAATTCCATCCACACAGTTCCTTTCACAACCCTCCCTCCATCCACACAGTTCCTTCCTACTCCTGGCCAACTCCATAGGCCAACTTCAGTGAGAAATGGGACACTCATAGGCCAAGTAACTGCTGCAGTGTTGACACCACCGAAGAAGGAACAGGACATGCATATTCCTGACACTTGCTTTTTCATTTGAGTGTGAATGCTATGCTTGAGGGGATTCTTGAGCAACCTCACATTTGACAATGTTACACAAACAAACTTCCGTCGAATATGTTCCGCCATGATCTTGATGGCGTTGTACCGCACTGAAGGCGATAATAGCTTGCTGTGCACGGGGCTGGGCGGCTAGGTCATTTTCTCGATATCGGCTACGCGACTCGGGCGATGATGTGGCAAGTGTGCACGACTACTTTTCATGGGGCATCGATCTAGTGATCGTCCTTCAATTCTCTTCCTTGCTGATTTTGGCAGAAGCCGCCGACATCCCCAAAGATGTGATGCGGATTTGTGTGGCGATATGCCTGATTTATTGCATCGTGCTATCAGCTGGTCCACTGATCTGGGAAAACATGCCGGACTGGGATGCGGATGCGAAAGTTCAATTACTTTTCTTCGCGAATATGGCACCCAAGAGTCAGTTTGTGAGCGCCTATGGAACAATGGCTGTACTTCTCACGAAGGCCGCCGTGAGCACTATTGTCCAGAAGCACCTTGGCCTGACTTGGTTCACGGGCTCGCTAGATGAGATAAATGACAATCGATGCACACACATAGTTACAGTAAATCAGTTAAACATAAATTACTGCTTTTGAGTGATTTGTGAGTTGAGGAATGCCTTCATGTATCTTCGCTGTCATTATGAGTACTGCATGGATCAATTGGATGCTTCATTTGCAAAGCTGGCGCAAAGTGATCCATCGGCGATATCTTATTCAGATTTTCGCCTTGCACTGCAAGAAATGGGCATCTCAGAGAGCCACATTTTTGCCGGATTCAACCTTCTAGATATCGAGCAGAGCGGCAAGGTGTCGCTTCAGAATTTCCGGAAGTGCTTGATGGACATCTTTGCCGAATATCCAGATGCCTCGCATATTGTGCTGCTGGGTAAGTTTTGCCAAGAAGCATTCAATCAAACCTCCGGCTACAGTTCTCTGGATAGCATGTTCGGTACAGTTTTCAGCCACTGGCGCCGCTTCAAGTTAGAAGAATTTGGTGAATGCATATACCAGTGCCTCACCCAAGATCCTGCCTTGGCATCTCTCTTCAGAAGAGAAAAAATGCGCACCCAGGCACTTCTCTTTGCCGCTTTCGTTCAGGTGGCTTTGAGTTGGTTGGAAGAGAAAGACTTCAGAAAAGTGGATAGAGATATGGCCTCCCTTGGATTGCGCCACCGATCCTATGGAGTGGAACCCGAGTATGTTTGCATGTTTCAGATCGCTCTTCTGCAAACGGTCAGTACGATCCTGAACGGTCTATCTCTTCAAGCCGAGATTTCCTGGTCAGTTGTGTGGAGCCACTTTGTCGTGGCCCCATTCCTGGCAGGTCTCGTCGATTTGGACAGCGAACGGCCAGGTGTCTACCGCGCAGTGAAAGATATTCTTCTGCAAGCCAAGAAAGAACCACAATTCGTGACAATGCTAGTACGGAACCTCCACGGCATCGTGGGGGGATACTGTGAATGGTCTCGCTTGTTTCGAGATCCCGAGCATGAAGTACAGCATTTGGCTATGCTTTTGGGTTTTCTGATTCAGGTCGCTGACGCTCGGTGATGTCATGGAGACAAACGTAGCAAGATTTCTAGACACTGTGCGCCTACTTTGTGTTGATTAGTGTTTTCTGCCCTGTTTATTTTTTGGTAGCAGTTCACGCATGCAATGCTTGGCCTTGCACCAACTTTAGTTGCTTACAGACTGGGTCAGCAATTAAGTTTGCGTTTAAACTGGGGACCGCCCCTCAAGGCGATGTTTGTCACAGAATGGAACAATCACCTAAGGATGACCTGGATGCAGGTCGTATCCTGAAAGCTAAGCAGCGGATGCGTGGAATTGCGCAGATTCACTGGGACCGTGGAGTTGTTCCGAGACACATGCTGGCCTTCCAGCTGCTCAATTGGCAGAAAAGCATTATTTGTCTTTTCGATTGTTCGCTCCATTTCTCTTTTTCCCCAAACAGTTTACTGTTGCGGTTCTATCTTGGAAAAAAAGAGCTGGCCACACTCACTGGCGCGGCCCTGAACTCTGTGGCTGGGCTCTGTGGCTGGGCTCTGTGTCCAGGCCTTGTCCTCCTCTTGTCCTCTGTGGCTGGGCTCTGTTCTGTGCCCAGGCCTTGTCCTCCTTGGATGATGGTCGCATCGAGTGAAATGATTGTTTGCAGTTTATGGGCAGACCGTATGGGGTAATTAATTCCTGACCTTGCAATGATGCACGGACATGCATGGCGTCAGGTGGAAAGAGCGTAGAGAGCGAAATGTGTTTCTTTACAGGTGGGATGGCATTTGAACACATACCATGGTCACCGGCGAATCTCGATGTGTTTGTGAACCTCCACATGCAGATTCCGTGGCAGGCAGCACTTTCTAAGCCACCTCTTGTCCTCTGTGCCTGGGCCCTGTTCTGTGTCCAGGCCTTGTCCTCCTCTTGTCCTCTTCTTGTCCTCCTCTTGTCCTTGTCTTGGCCGCGCCCCTGAACTCTGTGGCTGGTCTCTGTGGCTCGGTTTACTGAGCGATGTCAATGCCGACAAAGATTCATTGATGAAGCAGTTTGCTCTTGGGGCCAAGGTGGGGCGTGCCAAGAAATCGACTTTTGATCATACAATATTGGCCTAAGTGACCTAAGCGAATTTTTTCAAGCTGTTTGGGGTCTATGCTTGTGTAATTTCTTCCCTCAAGTCCTTTTTGAGACCGGGGAGGCCCACAACACTGCTTGATCACCTTCCAGCGGTCCAACATGGTCACCTACATAGCGGTGCCAGGTTTAGGAAGATTCCATTGAAAGTTCACAGAAAGCAGAAAACCATTTGCACGAAACGAGGCATGCAATGTCGCATACCTTCAAGGAAGTTCTTGGTCCTGATGCCCGACTCCCTGTTTGTGCTTGGTTTCATGCTGTGAATCTGCAGCCTCTCTGTATGTTTTTCATTTGATCGCCACCTGCTGAGGTCTTTACACACTCCACGGAATCCAGCTGGGCAGTCTTTATGCAGACAGAGGTCCGTCGAATGAACCCAGCAACATCCAAAACAGGCATTGTTCGTTGACATACAAATGGGAAACAAGTACAGTATAATGACGATGAAGGGTGAGTTTTCGTTGCCTCATTGCGTTCGTTTCGTTCATTACTTGGGAATGGCGTTCAGTGCGTTGAATTTTGGAGAAGAAATGACTATAGGAAGCCTACGGCAAGTCTACAAGTATCCTTCAAGAGATTCCACTTCCCAAGCTTGCCGTAGGTGTTGGAAGTCTTGCTGCTGGCGCCGTTCGCTGAGACCCAAGATAGAGTCGAGGAATGGGCCAGCCAGATGGATGGTCAGGAAGCTACTTGCCTTGCGATCAGAGCTGCTCTGGCCATGATTTGGCAGTTTTCGATTCTATTTGTGCAATGTTTCATCATGCTCAGGTTGATGGAAAGGCCTGGAGGGCCTTAATGAAACTGGCGTATGTGGATGAACCCTTGGCCGAAAAGGGCCTTCAAAGAGTCCACGCCGAGAATGGAAAGTCCTCCTCATTGACCGTGAACGATGTCATCAAGACCTTCTGCGACGAGAGCACTTCGGATGACCTTGGGGCTTTCCATTTGTTCTTGAGGTTTTATGAAGTTCCCACTTAACAAAGGAGAATGGACAAGATAGATCAAGATAGCATCAGCATGCAAAGGAAAGGTCATCATAATGTGGATAACACATTCACGACTACATTCGGATACTTTCAATTTCCGAGGCTTGTCACCACTGCTTACTTGGCATGGACGGTCCCAGGGGGTCCGCTTGATCCTTGTTTTGCTTCCGCCTTTGTTTGCCTGCTCGGCTCCGTCCATCGTTTTAATTCGGTTTGTTACTAGTAGCATCCTTTGCTCCTAGTAGCGATGCCAGGAGCCCCTAGTAGCATCCTTGCTCCTAGTAGCGATGCCCTTGTTACTAGTAGCTTTTGTTCGGTTAGCTTCATTTCATTCTTTGGCTCTTTTGCATCAGATTGCCCTGCTCTGTGCTCTCAACATTTCAGACACTGCGAGGTCTTGCACTAGGGTCTCTAGAGACTGTATTGAACCTGGTGTGTGTTGTAGAACGCACATCCTACCCCAACTCTTATTTGTAACGGTTGCGTATGCTCAAAGGAGAGCACAATTGAGAATTCCATACAATTCCTATATATATATATATAGAAATCTAGACAGTTCCGGCAGATCTGGACGGCTAGTATTTCGGGACTGCTCTGCTGACCGTGCAGCCGACATTGCGTTGTTTGATTCGTCTGTTATGTTCATGTCTAGTTTGTCCTTCTTAGACTTGCATCCTCAATCCAACCAATTGTGCCGACTGGAAGAAAACGGTTTGGAGTACGATCAACACAATAGCTGCTTGCCTTACAGAGATGATGCTTTGGCAATTCGTAGGCATGCAGCATCCTTCTTGGACATTTGAGAAAGTCGTGGAGAACTACTGCAAAACACCACCGGCAGCCGAATGCTTCTTAGAATGAAGGGTTTCAGGAATGGGCACGTATTTACCAGCCTCGTGGCACGTTTCCATTGCAGCATATGTATTGAGATGCGCACTTCCTAAATTGGAAAGGTTGCGAAATTCACTAATTCAGTCATGGCAGATGAAGCCAGCGTAATGCGTCGAGACATTCAAAGGGGAGCAATAATGGTGAACCACAATCAACCCCGTACTCTGTCTTTTTCCAGGTTTGCATAGAGGATCAACTCCTGTTGTGTTTGGAGTCAGCTGTTTTGTCATTACTTGTCATCGTCTGACACCGGCGCTTTGATCTGGTGTCCGGAGAGCCTGACACCTCTGCAGAGGGCACACAGAGTTTGCCTTTCTGCCCTGTATAATCGTGCTGCTGCAATCCTGATGCCCCCTACAGCCAGGTCAGAGGCACTAGGCCCAGCACATCCACGCCATGTTTGCGATAGCTTGAAATTTGACAGATACAAAAAGAGGACCTGGCTCAGGTGGAGTACAAGTTTTGCTGCACAGTATCGGCCTGCAAGATCATTGCCCGAAGGGCAAATGCGGTCTGTTTTGGCAGGCTTGATGATCCTAACTCCGGCAGAGCCGTCGTTGTCTCCGTTGACCCACCGCCTTTTGTCTCAATTGGTGGTGGTCTGTTCGACTGTATCATCAAAAAGACAGCTTTCCCTTGGCAAGTTCAGGCACTGCCTGTACGTACGTGGCACACAACGAATTGTCAACGTGGGCACCGTGCTTGCATATGAACAGTTTGCAGCCATCTGGTACGTATTTTAGATTCGATATAATATTTGTCACAAGTGCAAGGCGGACTTTGAACAATCCAACTGAAATCCTGAAATCTGATTACTATCAAGATAATGTACTGTATGACAAAACCTTGGATTGAGCCATCACCCTCGAAACGCATGGAGCAACCTCTCAGTTTATCAAGAAATATCAAGCAGGGAAACTGAACAACGGCTGAGTGCCATGGTCTCACAGCTCAACCGGCGGCTATTCCGGGCATTGCAGCCAGTTGAGATTGTGAGGCAGCTTCAAATGATTTCGGCACTTGTAAAAGACACTGACCTGGCAATCTAGCAGTCTGAACCAAATGATCATGGATGTGTCGGAAGTGAGCAATGTAGCATTCTGGATTCTTTTGCCTTTGGCAGCTGGCACCAGCTGGGTGCCACTACGCACCGTACCTTCTTGCGAGAACTCACTGACCGCTTGCTGCTTGGGGAGGTCGGGTTTCAATGCTCTCAGCTTTCAAAATAACCCCAGTAATTGACAGCCTTCCTGAACATGATCCAACATGATTTCATTCTTGCCAGCTTATATTCATTCTTCAGTCTCTGACCTTCTAAGCTAAGCCTTAGAGAGTTTGTGGTAGTGTGAAGTTTTTCGTGTAACTCAACTGAATTCTTTGTGCCAGGGTGTTGGAGGGGAACACCGCTTTGATCGAGGACAGGCCAATTTTAGAGCTATGACCTCCAACCAAATTGCCGTGGCCTCCAACCTATAAGTTTTCTACTAGGAGCAAGGACGCTGGCTCCTTGCCTTACTAAACTACTAGGAACAAGGATGCTACTAGGGGCTCCTGGCATCGCTACTAGGAGCAAGGACGCTACTAATTGCCGTGGGCTTGTCCAACACCTTTCGCCAAATCGCACCCTGCAGATCGTGTCTATTGGTTTAGCCGCCCTGAGGTTCCAGGCTGGAACAAAATCGCTTTCGTATGCTTGGTTTGGTTGTTTGTTGCCGCCAAGGTTCCTTTGAAGTTGATGCCTTAAACAAAGAAGCGTGTTAATGAGATCTCATCATACCTCAAAGGTGATTTTGTGTGAAACATTTGCTTTTTCATCTTTTTCCAAGTTTGGTGAGGCTGGAGTCATCACCGCAAGTCAGCGGAAGTTCGATGCTCGCGTGATCTTGGGTCTTTTCCTGCCGGGTGCAGAGGTGCCACGGGGATGAATAGATGGCATGCGGCACGGTTTGGTTGACGTATGTTGAGGTGTGATTGACGAGCTCGAGTAGGAGTGCTGTGCTCATCTCTATCGAATGCACGGAGGAGCCGGTCCTCCTTTACGCTGCCGATCGCCTATCGCTGGACTGCTGAATGTCTCGAAACAACAGCAAAAGTCCGTTGCAAAGATCAGGATCAAGCAGTTAGTGAGGCAATACGCTTCAAACATCCATTTAAGCCGTTGAGAATAATCTATTTTATGTAAGGAAATCACTGACCCTGATAGAAATTTGATTGAGTCAAACTCTTCAGCCTCTTCAGCCCAGAAATGTCAGAGGATAGATCTGGCCGCCCAGCTGCGCCGAATGAAGCGCTGGCCAGAGCGCTCCAGCGAAGCTACAAGAGCGGGTCCGGGACTTGTGAAAACAACAAATATACGGTGTATGTATCACCACCTTTGCGTTGTGATTTCAGGCCCCTGCACAATGCACGCAAAACCTGTGCTTCAATTTGTATTCTTTGGCCACGCGCAACTGGCAGCATCACGGCCCAAAAAAATCACCACCGACCAAAAAGGAGACTGACAGACGCTCTGCGGCTTTAACGTGAGTTTGCAACTTTACACGCATATCAACACCAAAGCATCAACTGCGTTTGCACCCTGTGCCCACCACCACCGAATCAGATCAACCGACTCTTGAAAAAACATGAAAAGCAGCCGTTGAAGCGTCAAATCAAAAAAGAGTAGGCAAGCGGGTGAGATCAACGAACAACTCCAGACGCTGGGCTCCATTATTGTAATTTATTATATGTTTACGTTCTATGTTTATGTTCACAATACCACCCAAACCGGTGATTCTCTGGCCCACTCCCGCCTCTTCGCTGGGGTCGGTGGACATGTATTGTATATGTGTATATATATTTCCTGACCAAAACTAGAAGGGCATCCTTCACAACGCCTGATTAAAAGTGCCCTTAACTTCCTTCTTTCATCCGTGTTCTTTATTCTTCTTGATTCCTGCCAATTCGCTCCGAAATGCCTCCACACGAGGCTCAACATCGCAAAGTTTGGATTGCTGGCATAAGAGCTGCCTAGTGGATGTGACGTGCTGCAGACAAAGTCTGTGCAAAATCATGCTCGGCCGTGAGCCATGAAAGGAACATATTTGGCATTACAAAGACTCAACTCACCTTTGAGACTCCATGCTTGGATTTTCCAACGTTTTCCAACAGGTTTCGTTGGAGGTCATGATATCAAACATCTCTGTGAGAACAATTTTCGCCCCAAGATGCTCTGAATCGCGGAGCTCCTGGCAAAGTCCCAGGTTTCTTGACAGTGCCTGTGCATTGTCGGGTTTAGGTATTGTGAATATTGTTGGCAATTGAATGGTGGATCTAGGTGCTCCTGATTCGAGTGTGGGAATTGAGGTGACAACCGCTTTGTTGATTTCTTGTTTTCGGACAAGTGCAAACTACGCTATGGCGCCATGGAAAGCCTACGCAAGGAGTTTGAGGCGTTGCATCTGGCGACAGAGAGATTGCATGACTCCGTTTCTTGTGCACAATAGACACAGCACTGTCATTGGCTCAACACTCATTGTACGAAATTTGTTTATATGGTGTCGTTCGGCCCCTTGTCCAAAAAGGATTGCACCGATGTTAGTTGTCCAATGTGCCCTTGCCAAGAGGCTCTACTCTCCCAGCCGACCCTGCAACAGCGTGGCCACCAGCTTTGGGAGAAGCTGGCTTTTGAAGGACCATGTGGCTTTCACTTGTTAAGTCAAGGCCGAGAAGATTGATGAAAGTGGCAAAGCTTGGCCAGGAACAACAAATCCACTGGCTGTGGTGTTGGGATGCTTCATTATGCGAACAGCGCAAATGGGAGTACAGGTTGATGAGAAGGCTTGCAGGTCAAATGAGTTTTTGTTTGGTTCTAAACTTGGCCGTCAATGTGGTGGCAGCTTTGCCACTTACTCGTAATGTCCACAAAAGCTTTGTGTCAGGTCTTGCGCAGCTTCTGGCCAGAAGAGTTGCAGCATGAAGTTCTGCTGAAGTTCCAGCAGGCAGGTGGTTTATTTTGGGCGATGAAGCCACACATAAACAACCAGTTGGATCTGCCTTTGTGATGTCAGAAAAGCATTCTTGTATAAGTAGCATTACCAACATTACCAGCATTACATCAAACATTAAATTACAGGTGCTTATATTGGTTGACTTTGTGGATCTTTGTATCACCGAACCATATGCTCAGAAGTAAGGCTCACAGGTAAGGACATCATGCAAAATGAAGACGAATGTATTTTTAGATAGCCATCCACACTTGAATACTCTGGCCCAAATCAAACTAGAATCACGAAGATGAATTCACTATAGTTATTTTTTTGTAGAGGTGCTTTTGGATACCCAGAATAGCTCTCGCTAGATAGATTTCAGGCCACTCTTGAAGCTGTGTTCCCATGGGTTCTTTTTGTGGTTTGTATTTTTGCTGGAGGAAGAAGCTGAAGCAGAGACCACATTCTTGGAGCTGTTGCCTCGTTGCGCAGAATCCATGATTGCAGCCATCACATCAGACAAGGCTAATAAGGCAGGGAAAGAGAGCATGCAAGCAACATTGTGCTAGCAAATTTTTGAATACCGCCTAGTTTTTGAAGCCCAATACTACACAGTCCAGAAACTATTGCAAATTAGTCTTCAGTTGAATCATGCATTCAGAGAGCGAGAGCCAGAGCGAAAGCGAGAGCGAGAGCGAGAGAGAGATAGAGAGAGAGAGAGAGAGACCGACATTCGTCCCCATTTCTTGTAGGAAAGCTTCCTGAGTTCTTTTGCAACTTCTCTTTCCTAGTCCCTTAGAGAAACTTAACGTCATAAATGCGTTTGCCTCAGTTCAGGTTGATGATGTTGGCGATGACATCATGCCACTCCATGTTCCGGATTGGTTGACGCAATGGATAGAGGCGAAGATCAGCAAACCTTCGAAGAAGGACTTTCCTGCATTGCGACATGTTGTTTGCTGCACAATGCGATGGTGAAATGAACGGGCGGAAGAATGAAGAAGCAGAGCACAAATTGATCAGACATCCATGCATACGTACTGTAAGGTCACATGATTGATTGAATCGCTTCTGGATCTGCTTTCGGAATTCAATTTGTCGCAGGATGCGCCCCGGACGCTCCATGTCTCAGATTGTTCAGATCCGGCTGTTGCTAACTTGCTTTCTGGATCCTACAGGAGCTCTGGCTTGGGTGGTTGGCCAGAAGCTGTTTGCGTGCTGAGACAGTTGTGGAACCTTTATATAGTATTTCGGAGCACCGACCGAGACTCCCTTCCAAGGCAAAAGTGATTGGTGTTGCTGCTTTCTGCTGTTTTTGCCTGGGTGGTCTCAGGAGCAGTGAGCCACACCATGGCAAAACGGTTTACATCAAGCCGGCATTGGAAGGATCCCCAGAGGTTGGGCATCCATGAGCATGAGATTCGTTTCCTGACAAAGATCTGGTGTGCTTTGCTTTTGTTGTAGTTCTGTATTTACGAAGGCAAAAGCCTAGGCAAACAGCTGCCTTCGCCGTACCTTTACGCTGGGTGTAGGTCAGCCTCTACTTTTGGTCTGATTCGTCAAACTGTTCGGGGTGGTGGTCGCTTGGCACAGAGAGATGTGACTTGGCGCCGCAGACTCTCAAGCATTGTGAGGTTTGGCCTTGCTGTCGGTGGGGACGACGTCATCGCGTTTCATCCAGACACGACTCGGAACGAACCTCCGGAGTCAGGCCGAGGGCTTAGAACTTTGGTGGGCTTTGCCATGTTGGCACTACCAAGGATGGCATGTCCCGTTCAATGGGCAGGTGGACCCAAATTTCCAGGTGTCCTTTCGCAGCAAGCCGCACGGCTGGACAAAATAGATGTTCATTGGCAACTTGAAAAGGTCATCAGACTCTAGACGGTATAGAAGAGATAGAAAGAGATGCACATTTTGGTGTGATCACCCATGCTGAGCTACCTTTGCTTGTGAACTTGGGATTGAGGCCGTCCAGCAGCGATTGGATAGGTGTCGACATGTCTAAGGACGGCATTTGTGCCCGCCAAGCTGTCTACACCAAACAATTTTGCATGTTGAGCGTTTGCAGCTTTTGCTTCGATTCGCCATACTATTTTCAGGAAACCTTGCCGCAGGCTGTCCTGCTTTGATTGCATTTTTGCGTGCCAATTGTTATCCTCACGCAGTTTGTGTGCCAATTGTGAAAGCCACGTGAGGCAAAGGAGGCACTTCCACCTGTGCAAGACCCTTCCCCATGGGCATCGGATTCGCCGCGTGCTCTTGGAATTACCAGTCAATCAAAGCAGGCGAATGAAGCGAACGAAGCCGGCGAGGCCAAAGCTGAAGTCGATTTGACACATCTCTTCTTGGCTTCGAAGGCGGCTCCAGAGGAGACGCTTTTGGAGGTTCCAGAGGCCGGTTTAACGACAAGTCGCACATTAGTGCCGGCCATTATGCAGCAAAGCAACTGCTGACCACCACCATTTGTCAACTCCCAGAATTCCAGAGTCGAACCACTGCCATTCCCTACGACAAATCAGGTGTTCCAAAACTTGCGCTAGAGTTCACTAAAGTTTTCGGATCTATGTAGACAGAGAAGCGCGTCCAAGATGCATAGGTGGGATACATTGCAAGGCTACTGTCACGGGTTGGTAGAATCCTGGTGTCATCTGCAGGCATTGACAACACCTGAAGTTCCTGAAGCTCCACATCGGCCCATTCGGAGGAGAGTTCCCCAAGCTAGACATAAACGGCCCGTAGACGCTTATCGGTTGACAATGTTCACTAATGCCTTTGCAGTCACAGCACGAAGCATGAGAGTTTGAAGGCCATGTTCTTTTTGTCCAGAGGAGTCGAGGTGGTCGCATCCGCCCCTTGCCGCTCCGGGCAATGAAGCGAGTTCCACAGAGGTTGCTGCGGCAGGAGGTGTGGGAATTCAGCCACATTGAGCTTATTTGCAGCCTATGCACAATTTACTGTGAAGAGTGATATGCAGTTTTTGTTCTATTTAGTCATGGGCCCACGCAACCAGTCTTTGTGACCTGTGGCAATGTGATACTTGCTGGGGAAACCATAAGAAACGAAGAACAAGCTCAAACGAAGCGGTGTTCGTATATTTGACCGCAGCAAAAACCAGCTTTTAGATGCTTTTAGATGCTTTTAGCATATTTGTGCTTATGTCCACACCAGGGCCGAGACCTTATTTCAAGCGACTGTGGAAGTGCCCTGCTGGACCGGAAGAGGGATGGGAGCCTGTGGTTGCCGATTTGTTGAGGTTTGATGCAAACTTGGCTTATGAAGTTTGCTTTAATCTTCATGCATCTTCATGCTCGACAGCTCCCCCGCACGCCTTGCTTTTCGTTACGACTTCGACTGACTGCGACGCGACAACCAATTACAAAAATGACACTGGTGAATCAGCAGCCCGCATGAAGAATGGACTTAGGACATTTTAGGACCACTCTTGGGCCTCAGAGCGGGCTGGGATTTTGTACTAGCACGCAAGCGGACGCTCAACAGCCGTCCAGGACGCTCTGCGCGGCCGCCTGCAAAGCTTCACACGGCCGGAGCTCTTCCGGAGTGCCACAGCCAACACCGACGCGCCACCGCCGTCGGTCACAGTGGGAATGGACGATTTAGACGACCTCCTCCTCCGCTCGAACCTCACTCTGCCTTTGAAGGCGACTTAGTCAGGTACTTGTAGCTTGACAAACTTGAGCATGTTTGAGCTACAAGCATTTACAAGCTAATTATCTCAGATTGTCCGAGATAGTGAAGCCATTCCAAGAGGTAGGCTAAAGCTAGCTGAGGCAGCTTTGGGAGGAACTCCCAAGATGTAAGCTCTGCAATCTCATGCAAATTACAAACCAAATCTTCTCTTGCACACACACACACTTCAAAAGAAGCTCGTAAGAGCTTGATTTCGGGTGGTACCAGAGACTCATTGGCTCTTTCCCACGTTGGCGCTCTACAACGCATCAACGCACGAGACAGATTGAGCTCTACCTAGAGTTCTAGGTATTCTAACTAGTTTAGAACAAATTAGAACGAAACAACTTCAGGTACATGAACCACCATGAAACAAACCAGGGGACCACAGACAGCAATCAATCAACAGTTGAACCAGAGCAGGTGCGTTTTCACCTCCCTGGTGCGCGGTCTTCGTTGGCCAGGACGCACACCAGGGAGTCCTGGCCCCCTGCTATCGATTTCGTCATGCCAACTGGACAAAGTGCCCTGGAAACGGGGTTTGACACATCCAAAGAGCCGTTTGAGGCGCTCTTCGAGAAGCTGAGCGTGACTGCCGACCTGATGTAAGACCTAAAGAGCTTTGGAGAGAGAGAGAGAGAGAGTAAGGGAGGGAGGCGTCAAGATACAAGTCCTTTCACAATAGCATACTTGCTCTATCGTATTGTTCATGTACAACTGCATGGTGCTATACAATGCACCTTGGATCGAGGCCTTGAGCCTAAGGACAGTCGCCAAGAGGAAAACCATACAGAGACGTGCACAAACAAACGACAAACAAACAGCTGCTGAATTTTACATGGTAGCGGAGCAAGGATCCTGGTAACAACAATCCAGGTGAGCTCCAATACAACAACTGGAGCAAACATACAAACACCGACAACAGAGGACAAGCCTTGACCCTACAACAGGTAGCTTGTACAGCTGCAACAATGGCAGCGCGACCAGCAGCAGCTCAAACTGGAGATGGCCTACCTCCAGTTCCAGAAGATGAGACAACAGCAATCATAGCAAACATGAACAGATACAAACTCAAACCACCCTTTTTGAATGGAGACTATGGCACGTTCGAGGAATGGAAATACAAGTTCACAGCATACATGGGATTGCAAGACAACGACTATACAGATTTGCTACAAGCAGCGGAACAAGCCACAGCAGAACTCACTGAACTACAATTACGAGCAGCAGCATCAACAATCGAAGATGGTGAACGACATGTTCGCCTCAGCACTGATTTGAGGTACATCCTCATCAACACCACAACAGGGGCAGCAGCTACAGTCTGCAGACAATACCAACACAATTGGCTTCGAGATGTACCGACAATTGTGCATCCGCTTCTCCATCACATTGGGGACAAGATCTATAGGACACTTGACAAGATTGTTGAAACCAACATTTGACAAGAACAACTTCTAAGAATCCTTTTCCACATGGGAATTTGAGCTACAACGATTTGAGCGAGACAATGGACAAACACTCCCAGACACCGTGAAGATTGCCGTATTGCTCAACGAGACAAGTGGACCACTACAACAACACCTACAACTGCTTTCAGGACAAAGCCCAAACTATGCACGAGTCAAACAAACAATCATCGAGTACTACAGGTCAACAACAGCATTCGGCAAACTACAACAACTACGATCGCAATCATCCAGCGTGGCAACAAGCTTCGGTGGTGGACAAGCACCCATGGACATTGATGCAATCCACAAAGGAAAAGGCGAGTACAACAGGTACAAAGGAAAAGGGAAAAGGAAAGAACAAAGGCAAAGGCTACGGAGGATACAGCGGCTACGGATACAACAATTAATTACAACACCAACTACAAAGGAAAAGGAAAGTATGGAGGAAAAGGATTCAACAATTACTACAACAGTCCGATCGGCTTCGGCAATCCATTCGGAAGAGGCAACGAAGGAAATAAAGTATTCAGCAAAGGATACAACAAGATCAAAGGAAAGAACAAAGGAAAACAAGCGACAGATACATGTTACAGATGTGGACGAACAGGGCACTATGCCAAAGACTGCCGAGTGGCAAAACACAACATTGGACAAGGAGAAAGCAATGACATTGAGGACACAACAACACAATGGTACGATGACTACTATGACAACGGATGGCGCTTTCAGGACCACACACGACAACAGGCACAACAGCCATTGGCACTTCCGCCAATTGCATCCACAAGCAACCATGACATGACACCAATCCATGTCATTGCCATGATCAGCCATGACAATGACCACAAACCAGCTCCAACAAACGGCGGCGCAACAGACACTATACACATCATGATCGACAGTGGAGCAGCTACACATGTCTGCCCACTATGGTTTGCAGACAACTATCCAGCGTACAAGATTGACCAAGCACGAAGCCCAAACCTCAGGACAGTGACGAACAAGACAACACAATGCTATGGAGTAAGATGGGTTTACATGCAATCAAGAGGACAACCAATTGTCATACCCTTCTACGTGTGTGACATCCATGACCCAATCCTGTCAGTGACAAGACTGGCAGAACGAGGCTTTGACATCAGATTCAACGACACTCCAACAATGCGCCATGACAAGGGATTCAATGTTCCCTTGGTGCAGCAGCACAACCTCTACTACTTGCCAGCGAGAATCATGAACCTGGGACAACATCAACAACTACAGCTGAAACATACACAAAAGGGCATGATTGCAATGATTGCCCCAACAACACTGACAAAGCATGGACCCAACAAGTCCTTGGAGGTAACAGCGGCTATTGGAACTACAACCATGAAGGATACCTTGTACGGTATCACCGGAACAAGAGGAAAGCTCTCTTTGTTCCTGGCGACAATTGCCCAGTACCACTGGAGACATTGAGCAACTACAGACGAACAATCATCCGACGAACAGACGGGAACAACGAGGACATTGTTGAACGATACCATGACTTGAGCAAGCGCGAACAACGACGAGTGATACAAGGAGACACATGGACAGGAGAAACATGGTTCAGAGTGAACAAGGCGCCAGCACAACCGGCAACTACAAGAACGAAGACAACAGAGCAGACAGAGATAGCGCCACAGGCACTACAAGCACGACGCCAATCCACAACAGTACGACTCCCGGAACAAGACGGGAGAGCGCAACAGGTAAGTAGAGAGCCACTATACAGACACACAAGGAAGAAAACAGCGCCAACAACCACGGCAGTACCTGATCCATCCACAATGACACCAACAACAGACTATTGGATCAGAGAAGGACACTATTGGAAACGAGTTCACGTACAGGTACGGACGACAATGTACATACCACAACAAACAGACGATGGTCCAGACATTGGACGACTCAAACCGACACGGACAACATTCGTGAACAGAACGGAACAAGGAAGAGGATACACAATCCATGACAATTGGCGCGAATCAGGAGCAAGACAGCTTGACAGACAATGGACTGGGTCAACAAACTTCGAGGAAGAAGCGACGTACAAGTACGAGTACGATACGGACAATGAAGATGAATCTCAACAAGCGCAACGCGCCAAAGGAATGAAGGCGCCGCAACAACCAACAAGACAAGAAAGACTAGAACATGAACTGACACATCTACCATACCGCTCATGGTGTCCAATATGTGTCAAAAGCAAAGGAAGAACAGACAATCATCCAAAACAAGCAAGCAAACAACCAGTGATACAAGTGGACTTCACCTACATGAAAGCATTTGGAGACAAACAAGTACTACCAGTACTGACAGCAATAGGCATGGGAATGGCAGTTCTTGTACAAGACAAGAGTCAACAACAACAATATCTCGCACGATGTCTACAAACATTCATGTTCGAGTGTGGACGAGCACAAGCAACATTCTCAACCACAACACTACAATCAGACCAAGAAGAATACATACAGAACCTACTGAAGACCGTCGCGCAAAAGCTCGGAAACAACGTCAACATCCGACAATCACCGGCGTACTCGTCACAATCACAAGGAAGCATTGAACGATTGCATCGCACCTTGATGGGATAAGTCCGAGCACTGGTACAACAAGTGACCACAAGCTACAATCTTACATTGAGCGTACAACATCCGGTCATGCCGTGGATTGTACGGCATGCAGCCTGGCTACTGAACAGGTATGCCATGCGCAATGACGGACAAACAAGTTACCAAAGACGATGGCAGAAGGACCACAAAGCACCACTATGCGAGATGGCAGAAACAGTACAATACATGATACCAACCACAAAAGCACAACCCAAGATGGAGCCAAGATTCTTCAAAGGAATCTGGCTTGGCAGAGACACAATGACTGGAGAGTCAATAGTTGGCATCCCTGGCAAGGTCATCAGAGCAAGAACAATACGAAGACAGATTATGCCAGACAAGTACGACCAGCGATTATTGGATACTATCAACGCGTATCCATGGAATTTGCCAATAACACCAATGGCAATTCCACCGCAATTGCTTCTACCAGCTGACAACACCGCAAGCAAACAAGCAATTGGCACACAAGCTGACATTACAGTGGAAGACACAAGCACACAGACAAAACAAGAGACGCCACTGGCACTACCAGCGCGAGCAATACACCATCAGCCAATGGATATGACAATGGCAACATCACCATTGGCAACTTCACCAACAACAATGGCAAGACCACCACTGCCATTACCACCAGCAAGCAAGCGACAACGCGAGGAGCCTACAGGTGAAGCGCAATCCAAACAATCAAGGACAGCGCAGTCCTCAACAGCAGCAAACCGAGGACAAGATGAAGAACGACCAAAAGCAAAGATGAGAATACAAGCAGTGACAATCACCACAAAGAAAGGTGACAAGATCACCACAGCATCCTGTGAAGATGAACAAGAAGCAGACGTGGAGAGGATGCTACAAGAACCCTTCGTCTACGACAATGAAGGTCTTGATCCATTGAAAGTACAACAAGGAATGAAGAAAGAAGCGCAATCGATGAAGACACAAGGAGTGTTCACAGAGATGAACTACAATGATGTTCCTGAAGAACGCAAGAACAGGATCATAGAATCCAAGTGGGTCAACAAACCCAAACAAGATGAAGTGCGATGTCGCATAGTAGCACAAGGCTACTTGGAAACAATCCAACATCTATGCGAGCACGCCAATCTTTGGGATCTTACGCATCCTATTGACAATGGCGCAGCGCAACCACTGGACAATACAAGCAGGAGATGTGTCAACAGCATTCCTACATGCGCCAGCAGCAACAGACAACCTATACATGTGGCCACCACCAGAACTATATCCAAGCGGTCACAACACAACCACAGTATGGAAGCTCAACAAAGCAATCTATGGACTACGATCAAGTCCAAAATCCTGGCAGGATCACTTTGCACAAGTCCTACAACAAATGGGACTGTCTCGACTGACAAGTGAACCCAACGTGTACAGGAACAATGAACAGACAATGTTTGTGATGGTCTATGTGGATGACCTACTATTCCTAGAACAACAACAGGAAGTCGACAAGACTTTCATCAAGTACAAAAGCATGTACTACTACGACCAACCGGCACACTGGGAATTGGTCAGACAATCCAATTCCTTGGCAGAGACATCCACAACAATGGAGACTTCTTTGAGGTGAGCCTCAAACCAGAATACATCACCACGTTGCTGAAGGAAACAAAAATGGAAGCAAGCAATCCAGCATCAGCTCCAGGGACGGCAACCCTGAAACAATCCACAAACGATGATGCACCTCTAGATGCACAAGAACATGCAGATTACAGAAGAGCAGTAGGAAAGCTTCAATGGCTGACCTACACAAGACCAGACATCAGCTTTGCAACAAAAGAACTGGCGCGAGACCTACAACAACTGACGCAACAAAGCCTACGCAAGGTAAAACATCTCTTACGATACCTCAGGGGAACACAACACTACAAAATCACCCTGAGGACAACACATACACCACAAACAAAGGAACCCATCGACCTCAACATTTATGTCGATGCGGACTGGGCAGGATGCCCAAGCGCAAGAAAATCATCAAGTGGATTCATCGTGACAATGATGGGATCAGTGGTACAATTTGGAAGCAGAACACAAGCAGTAGTAGCACTATCATCAGCAGAATCAGAGCTTTATGCAATTGGCACAGGAGCACAAGAAGGACTACATATAGCAAATTTCATCAAGGAAGCAACAACAACAAAGGTGAACATTCGCATACACACCGACAGCACAAGCGGCAAGAGCATAGCGACAAGAATTGGCTCATCAAAGAAAGCAAAGCACATTGACCTAAAGTACCTATTCATACAACAACTGGTACAAAGCGGGATACTGTCAATACACAAGATCAGCACACATGACAACCCAGCAGACATACTGACAAAGTATGTCCCGGCAGAGGTGCTTAACAAACACCTCTACATGGCGGGCATTCAATGCCCACAACACCACAATTGAACGACGATCGTACAAACGGTTTCACAACCTTGGCAGCATCTATGCGTGTACAATACGCGCACGGGGGCATCAAGCCATGGCACACTACTTTAGCTACTATGTGCATACTATGTCATAGACAATATGTACTACAAGATTTCAGTCTCACAATGGATCCGATCTTTTCTGTCGTCGACTCGTAGAACAATTCGATGAACAATGTGTTTGAAGTTTTGCCTTTTAGAATTTGAAAGACAATGCGTGTTCAGTTGACAATTTGTCAACAATCTTTTTGACCGCAGCCGCCCTTGCTCACAAGCGCTGAGCAATCGGGATCAACTATTTGCTGGAGAACAACATTGGCAACAATGACCATGGAGATGACAATCCCGGATTACCAGAATCAGCCGCGATTGCCCACAAACTCGACTATCTCCCTATGGGTGGGAGGATCGAGCGATCCTCTACAATGAGGACAGGGTGGAAAGCACAATCCTCATCCCACCAAGCTGCAAGGATAGCCTATGGTGCGATGGTTTGGACAATGACAAGGACTATTGGTTTGCGGCCGTGACCGAAGTTGAGTACAATCAGATGCTCAACGACAACAATGAGATCGACAAGCTTCCCGGAAACCTGCGGAAGCCCGGGAATTGGGAGCAATTCATTATGCTCCCAACAACCGAGGAAGCAATCCAATGGCTCGCTTACCATCAATCGATGGGACACACAATGCCGAGCGATCAAACAATCGTTTTGGCGATTTGCTTCAATCCCTACAACATGGCCACGCACTTGACAAGCAAGAAGCTTTCGTCGTTCCAGAGGGGATACAGCGTGCAGATCCTACAAGTGCATGCCCCTCACAACTATAGGCTGACAATGGAGGAAAAGAACAACTTGAGAGCAGTACACTTGAGCTACAATGCAGCCGACAAGTTCGACAGGTACAACTGGACGACTGGTTGGATCTGGAACTATGGCCATACTATGCATGTGAAGTCAATGATGATGCTCTCGACGGATTCGCCTCATCATACAATCTTCGGGATGGCGTTAGCGCACCTGGGACAATTTGGACATTCCCAGCTTCCAGATGATGTACAATTGGCCCTGGGAGTCTACAAGGCAGAGTATGAGATTGACACCTTTCACGTGACAATCCCAAAGCGACAACAGCGTGGACATTTAGAGCATAGCCATTACATCAAAGAGAGAGCCCATACTATTGAAGTCGAAATGTCAGAAGACGAAGAGGAGGAAAAGGGCGCAAAACGCCCTCGACAATCGACCAGCGACCAGATGGAAGAGTCGCAAGAGTAGAACAATGGCTCTACAAGCTGCAAGTCTCTCTGGCAACAATGCCCACGAGCACCACGATGGATGGCAACAAGCTGGAGAGACAAGTGCAGAAGAAGAAATGTACAGACTTGATGACAATGTGAACTGTTTTATGTACAATAATGTTCCTTTTCAGTTTCAACAGTGTTTGTATTGATGGTGTGATTCAACAATGAATCAAACCAAGGGACGGTGTCAAGATACAGTTCTTTCACAATAGCATACTTGCTCTATCGTATTGTTCATGTACAATTGCATGGTGCTATACAATGCACCTTGGATCGAGGCCTTGAGCCTAAGGACAGTTGCCAAGAGGAAAGCAATACAGAGACGTGCGCAAACAAACGACAAACATTACAGGAGGGAGGGAGGGAGGAAGGGAGAGAGAGAGAGAGAGAGTGGGTAGAGAGAAAGGCATCAAGAAAGTGGCGAATAAAGTATCCGGTCTGCTGCTCCATGCAGGAAATTGTCATGCAACCCATTGGAGGCGTATAGTGGTCTTGTAGGACCAGTGTATAGCCGAAGCCGGCGCAAGTCGAGGCACCATACACGCCAGAAGGGTGTAAACCCCAGTGGAAGGCAAAGGGCGCGGCGTGCTGGCAGTGTGTTGCGTGTAAAAGATGAAGACGTGAGAGGAAGACAAGACAGGACAGTGCATGTGGTTGTGGTGAAAAAGAACCAAGTGACCAGGAACAACCAGATGAGCCATACCTCCTTATAACAACCTGCGCGACCTCAGACCTGGGTTTCGAGTAATTACGGGTGCGCGTACGAACCAAGCAGTGTGTGCGCAAAAAAGAAGAAAAAGGATGAGACGACAAAACATGAAGACAGGAAAGACATGAAAAGAAAGAGGACAAGGAAAGTGTTTGGGGGGAAAGGATGAAAGGGGAACCACATGAAGGGGCTGGAAAAACAATGGGTCTCGAACGATCTGCGACCGATGCGGTGTACTCGTGGCATTGAGCCTACTCAAGTCCGCTATGGACGCCTCGTGGCGTGCTCGAAGGCTGCATGCCTACTTGTTTTCCTGTAGTTCAACAAATCTTGACGAACGTTTGCGCTAAGGCTCCTTCTGTCCGCTTCGGACACCTCGTTCCCGGGCAGGGGGAAATTGGACAAACCCTGGCTCAGCAAGGCCACAGGGGTCACTCTTCGGGCTCACCCAGGGCTCCCGCGAAGGGGAGGCACACTCGAGATAACGCGCGCAGAAACGACTTGCGGGTTGCCACTCGCCAGCCTAAGTGGAGAAAACCTAAGAATCCAGGGAGGTGAAACCTGAAAGATGTATATAAATGGAGTGGCGTCCAACCAAAATCAAGGAAAATCTCAAAGTTCCAAAGGCGCGAGCAGTGCGAGCGATCGACGTCGGGCAGCTCTGCAAACCTCAGATTCACCTAAGCAGCCTGTCCAATTGAGGAGGAGGTAGTTACTAGTTAAGTTACTAGTTACAGAACGTCACGCCTGTTAAAATGCAGATGCAAACGGGTGATCAATCCGTGCTTCCCACTCCAAGGCATAGCTTCGTTGCACTGAGTTTGTCAAGGAGTGCTCAGTGCCCCTGCTTTAGAAACATAGTCGTTCCCGGCCCTGTGACTCCAAGGGCTTCACGCACACACACACACACACGCCAGCAACTATGTCCTTGATGGTGGCCGCAGGCTTTGATTGCCGTTTGGCATGCTGCGCTGCAAGAGGCGCCTTGCTGAGATGTTTCAGCGCAACGAGCAGTGTAAACACAGGTTGCAAAAGTCTTTGCGTGAACGCCTGGCATGGGTAAAACGGCTTCAGGGTTTTGATCATCGAAGGTTTGTCCTTGGAACCCGACAGGTTGGGTGCCAAAATGTGTCTGCAGAAGAAGCACCTGGGATCCGCTTGGGCTACGCGCAGCAAGGTTTCCAAGGATTCTTTTTGTTCCAGTAGGTAAGATATTCCAATTGTTTTTTGTCAACTGAAGTACCAAATTGAACTAGTCAGAATCCTCGGATGTTTCTGGCCAGCTCGAACTGCATTTTCATCGTGATTTGCCCTTTCATCATTTTTTGCAGCCCAGTTTGGTTTCTTTGCCACCTGGCCTTTTTGGACTCTTTTGATCTCGCAATATTTTCTGAGGTTTGGACGTGCGTTTGGAGGTTGAACACTCAAGAGCGTTGGCAATGGGTTGAATGAGTTGGCTGGTTCTCGTCGTGTGGCTTTGGTTCCCTCTTGGGCTTTGAGGTACATCTGTTGAAAGTCAGGGAAGCTTTGGTGTGGCTGCGCCAAAGACCGCCAACTTCTCCTTCAAGGTTGGCAAAGATCTGCTGTCAAACTGTAAGCTATGACTGTTCTTTTGTACGAAGACACCCTGTCTCCAATTACTCCTCTCAGTTGGGCTAAACAGAGAACCGATGAGAAGCGGTTCTCCCGAGTCGTGCATTTGGCCTCGCGACCTTGCCACCGTGATACCCTTGATACCTGGTGAGGCGACAGGCCGATACTTCTCAGATGACCAGCACCGCAGGCCACGTCCGGTCTTTTCGCCAGGAACCCTGGAGGCAAAGTGTCACACTTGCCAGTGCTTGCGGTCACCCTGCAGCGACGCCTGTTGCAAAGGTTTCTTCCACTTAATGCGCAACTTATTCGACTTATATCCGCCCACACCGCTTGTCGGTGCAGGGCATGCTGTTGGGGCTCTTGAGCTATGGTTGGGCTGCAGGGTCACTGGGGAGAGCGTTTTGGAGGTACATTTTGATTGATTTTTCGTTACGTCGTGCTTGCAGGGCCACTTGGGAGAGCGTTTTGGAGGAGTTTTTGTGTTTTGGGGTGGTTGCTGCGTTGATTCTTGCTCGGCTGCAGGGCCACTGGGGAGAGTGTTTTGGAGGTGTATTTTTGAATGGCTGTTGGCAAGGCCGAAGTTATATCCCCATTATGGGCCCCAAGGTAGACGAAGTTGGCCCCAAGATGGCTCCAACGCAGCCGTAAGACAGCCAACCTGGCGCCTAGATGGCTGCACTTGTCCCCAACCTGGCGCCTAGATGGCTACCTCCATTTCACTAACTTCGGCTGTTCGTGCGTGGTGTGGGCGGCTGTCGACGCGAAGCGTCTTGACTATGTGCTGTTACAAAGCATCGCTGTGGCGTGGATTAATCTAATTAGCGGCCTGCTACGGGTACGTTCTTTCTAACACTGAGCCTGAAGTGACTTACCCCAACCGCGATGACCTCTATCAAATCTGGTTCTAACTGCTACCTTTGTTGCCCAAAGACGCTCAACTTATTCTTCCCCCACAGCATACCATCCAACCCCCAATCTCACAGCTGAGTCCGTGTACGTATACCATATACCCTTCAATTCTTGTCACCGCTGCATTCTCTGACAAACACAACAGTCCTTTTTCATTTTTTCATTTTTTAAAGCAAAAGGTGCGCAATACTTTCAGCCCTGCGATCCGACAATTTCGTTTGCGACAACTGCCTGTCACACTTAGATGGTTGCTCGCAAGAGCTAGGATCAGTATGAAGTCCCACTTTACACGCATTAGACCTTGACTGAAAAAGCGCAAAAGGAAAGGTGACGGGCCCGCAGATTTGAAAGTGTTTTAACAAGGTTTTGCAACTCCTGATGACAGCTTAAAAATTCCATCGCGGTCAAAATTGGACTGAAGTTCCGCTTTCTTTGCCAGGGTCGCTTCTTTCTTTGTGGCTCCCCCCCGGCTGTGGCAACTTGCAAATTCTTTTGTGGGGAAACTCCTTGCCATCCCCGGATGCAAATCCCCGCATCCCCAGTCCCCAGGGGTGGGCCGGCTACGCAAACCCCTTCCCCTCAGTTCAGCCTTCCACCTGGCGTTAACCAAGGCTTCTAGCTTACCGAGGTGCAGGCGCGCCCGTGCTCGACACCACTCCAAGGACATTCCACGATGCACAGTGGCCAGCAAGAACCTGTCGTTGCCTCACCTGACGTGAGTGTTTCTGCGTTTCAGGCGTTCTCTACCCGCCCACACAAGTGAGCGCAGCCACTATTCAAGACTGCCTCTACTCATGTGACGCATGCACCTTAAGGGCTGTGCGCATCCTTTCAACCTGCTGACTTCACCTTGGCAGCCCTCTAAAACTGTACATAGACACGTCCAGAGTCGGTAGAGTGAAAGAGATTGCAAAAAGTCTGACGGGAAGTGGAGCGGAATGCCTTTGGAACAGGTGGTGACACCCACAGCGGGATCGGCGCTCAGTCTGGGCTGGTATTGGCTGAGAACGCTCAATAGGGGAGCCTGTAGGTGCAGCAGCTTGTGGGGGGATCGCTTGTAGCCAAGTGGGCGAGTGGGGTGATGGTGTAACAAGCGTGACTGGTAAACCCCAAGTTGGAGTGGGGTCGGGCTGTTGAAAGGGATGGGATGTGTACGCGAGCGTACAACAAACGGGGATTTGCTTGCAATGACTTGTTCCAATCGGTTGGTTTGATGTTCTGGTCACCATTTTGATTGAATGCATGAGTTCAGCCCAGTGGGGTTGCTCATGGACTTGGGCAACGTTTGATGGCGGTTGTGTGAACCTCCGCCACGGTGTTTTGCTTGGCTGTGTCTGTTCTTTCTTTTGACTGTGCTTCACATGGCTGCCTCCTTGTGGAGCAGCCTGCCGCGCCGATTGCAGCAAGACTTCGGCGCGGCAAATGGAGCATGTCCCTCAGCGGAGGCGTATCTTTTCGTGAAGATTTACAGCGTTTGTTGGATACTTCGTTGGGCGCCGGCCACAGCAGTGCCAAATCAACTGCGGCGGCCGCGTTGCTGGATTTGCAGGCATGGGCCCTAGACAATGTGAAGACGGTGCAGAAGCGACGAGCGCTTGTCGATTCTGCGACCAAGTTCTCTCATATTTACAATAAAGCAAAGCGAGCAAAGCCATTGCCAGCAGTTGAATTCACACAGAGTTGGCTTGCGAAATCTGGTGCTTCCAAACGCATTGGGCAATGGCAATGGAAATCTCGCCGCGTGCGGAAATTGGCGATTGTTCGAAGCGAATCTACCAGAGCCGACACTGAAGCCAAAGAGCTATACTCAGATGGAGAAGCGAGCTGGCCGAACTGGTAGCCGACGCTGGTTTACCAATCACCGAAGCAATGTCTCAAGTGCGCGATCGGGAAGCCATTTTGCTGGGTGCCCTGGGCTCCACGCGGGCTTCTACTATCCGCAAGCGGATCCGTGAATGGCGCAAAGCTCGTGCATTTTGCTTAGCAGTTACGGGCCAGCCATGGCCGCAGAGTGTCAGCGTTCTGCTGGACTACTTGCACGAGCGGCGGCTGGAGCCCTGTGCCCGGACAGTTCCTGCTGCAATCTTAGCAAGCCTGGCGTTTATAGAAAAAGCAGGGGCGGTTCGAAAAGGAGAGCGCTTCTCGGACATGGAAGTATTGATCAACACTGTCCACCAACTTACCGGCGACTTGGAGACCCGGGCGCCCCCCACGGCGGAAAGCTCCCATGCTGCCGGCAGTCCTTATTGGGGCGACAGAACTGGCTCTGAGCGATCCCACCTTGCCCCTATACTTGCATGGTTTTGCTTTTTACAAACTATTGAAATTGTGGACTTCAAGCCGCTCCAGTGATCTCTGTGGGCTCGACCCTAATTCCCTGAAGCTCTCGGAGCATGGCTTAAGCGGCGTTCTGGACCGCACAAAGACAGGACCTGGGAAGAAGATTCGTATCCTGCCAATTTTTGTAAGCAATCGTGTGAACCCCGCCTGGCTGGCTGATGGCTGGGCCCTTTGGGCGGATTCTGCTATGATGAACTTTGCCCGAGATTACTTTCTTCCCTTAAGCCGCTGGACGATGACTCTGGGGCGCGTTGTGTGATGGTGGAATACCCCAGATCCTATCCCTGACCAAACGGCTCCTGAGTTTGCTTTCGGTGCCTGTTTGGGATGGCCATGCCTGGCAAGCAGGGCCCGAGAAGCTGATTTTGTTTCGGGACACGTTGGCGTTTTGGACAGAACACTCTGAGCGCAATTGGCTGGTGTCGATCCTTGCTTTGCTTGGGGTTCAGCGAGAAAAGCGTGACTTTTTTGTGGGCCGCTGGCGAGTAGTGACTGCCTCCGACGAATATGCCGCACTGCCCAATACCTCGTAATCACCTTGCAAGAAGAGGCTCTGCGTGGCCTGCTGAAAGATGAGCGGTGGGGTTTGAGGAATGGTGGCTTGGATAGCTTACAACAGTTTTTGGTATCACGGGGGGTTCCACCCTCTGATGCGCAAACCCAAGTGGAACATCTCAAAATGGCCGTGTGCTGGCGCCCTGCGACAGATTCTCATGATATCGTCGATTTGCCCGACGTGCCCTTGCCTGACGCATCACATGAATACCCCTCCGACAAGCAGACTTCTTCATTTCCATTGTGGGGAAGAACCGGGTTCGACGTTTGCATCGGCGGGGCGGCTGTGGTGTCACCGCCCTCAGTGTGCAGACAATATGGAACCTGTACTCGACTTACAGGATTGCGAAGCAACCTGAGGAACCGACGCTGGTCACTGAAAGCGACTCGTCGTCAAATAGCAGTTCCTCTTCCAGCTCTTCTTCCACCCGCGCGTAGCAAGAGAACTCCAGGGGCGTTTGAAGGAAATAGCGGCCAAGGCTGCTTGAGACACCGACCTTCCTCCCCTTTGTTTTTTGTTTTTCGTGACTTCTTTTTCTTGATTGCCTTGTTGTACAGCAGGGCATTACTACTTTTTCTCTAAGCCGATTGCGGGCATGTTGCCGCGCGAGATGTCATACATGGCTTGGATGAGTCATGATGGGCCCCAACTGTTTTTTTGGTTTTGCTTTATTGTCGTCGTTGTTTTCAGGGATACCACCAGACCAGATTCCGTTGTTTCTGGTTCAAACCCCAAGCTTGGTGGTTTGGCCCTCCTTGTACGCCTTCGGCTTTCAGGTGCCCAGATTGCAGGGTTCCGAATTGACATGGACTTGTCAATTGGTGGTGGGCGTGACAGCCTTGCCATAGGTTGGCTGGAGGGCCAACCGGACGGTTGGGTGGAGACCCGACCATGTTCAGTGGGCACGGACGTGCAAACTGAGTAGTTATTTTCCCTGAGGGTCTGCTTGGCTTGGCCGGCCGGATCCGGCTGGATAGCTGGTATTGTATATATATTTTTCCCTTTAGGTTGGCAGTGCCGGCTGAGTCCAACCCCCTTTTGTCCCCCCTTCTGATAACTTACACCTTTGGCCTTGGCAGGTGCTTCATTTCGTTCGTGGTCATTCAGGGCGACTGATGCAGCAAAAGCTATTTTGGCAAAGGCGGAGTCGGAATTGCAATTCCTGATGGATGAGGCCGGAGTTTCCGAGGAGATTCAGGGAAAGGTCTACAAATGTGGCTTCACCAGTGTGCGCATCTATGCGGGGCTTGATGACACCAAAGAAGCCGTGCGCAAAGGATTGGCCAAGGAGCTTCCTCTAGACTATGAGGCTTCTGCAGACAATCGGGTGGCAATGGCCCTATTGCTGTCGGTGTGGGAAACTTGCCGCACACAGCTCACTGTGCAGACTCGCGTTGTAC